TATAACTGTCTAATCACTATGCTGTACACCTGAAACTAATACAAAGTGATATTTAATGTAAAGTGTAACTAAAAATAAAATTTAAAAAACTACATTATATTCAGTGAGTTCTGAGTTTTCTCTCACTAGGAATTGATGAAAGCCTTGTAGATGTGACAATGACAATTACCTGTTTTGTTCTGTTCTAGGTCCAGCTCTTTGTTTTCTCCCTGTCCAGTTTCTTCTTTCTCCTCTGTGATCTGTACCATTCTGATACTGCGCCAGATCATTTAATACGGATGGTTTATAGTTCAGGTTTTAAATGACAGCAATCTGATTCACTGAGTGCTAAGCAGTATTTCCTTTAGTTATATTGGTGTAATAATGCCTGATAAAATTACACTATAGGAATTCCTCCTGTCTTTTATTTGAATGGCCCCACATTTTCTGTCTCAGACTATTCTTTCAGCTGTCTCTGGACCTTGCTCTTGGGTTTCTGTCCATCCTTTGGGCCAAATGATCACTCCCAGATTGTATTTGAGCTTAAAGCTTTTCCCACATTGAACAGATTCTTGGATATCCTACTATATCCTCTAGCTACAGGATCTCAGATCTTAGCTGTTTAACTATCTGATGCCTACTATAATGTATACTACCCACATATTTCATGTCAGCATTAAATTTATACTAAGGAATCAAAGTTAAACAAACAAAAAAGATTAAAGGGACATCTTTCCCATATGATAAAAAGCTGCTGAGTAGAAGGCAAATAATATAAAATATACATTTGTACCAAATTCTAAATTGCCACATGAGAGAAAATAGCTAATTTTAAACCAAAGCATGTTTTTAAATGTTTTGTGTTAGAGTTTTGAATAAAAGTTTTATTAGATAAAAACTTGGTCCAAGTCTATTAAGTACACAGCTAGAAACACTGAACATTGTCATATGAATCAGCTTTTAAAATCCCTCTCCTTTAAATTTCTACTTGAGAATTCTACTTTTAAAATGTAAAATCCCAATTCATATATTTAGGGCCAAAGATTCCATTTGTGAGAAGTTCATTGTTTTTACTGCTGCTTCTGCTTCAAGTGCCTTTTTTCTTATGTTTCTTTTCTTTAAAAAGAAAATCTTTAATAATACTCAGTACAATTTCTGTCTAAAGGTAGGAAAAAGAGATAATATACTTCAAATCAGCCCAATCCATTTATTTTCACTAGCTATTTGGCTACATATTAAGATTACCTTGCTCACATAAGGCATGAGATTACCTGAAGGTATAATTCTTTGAAGTGTGCTTGCTTATTGCCAAGGAAAATTGAAAGTGCTTAATATCCCCACTTTGGATTGGCTTTCACTTAACTAGGTAAGAGCCACTGCTCAAAGGACAATAACTAGAAATCATAAACACATAACTGTTCTGAAGCCTAATAGATCCACTACAAGCTACCTTCTCTGTCACAAAATTTTAATTTGTAAATCATCACTCTAGAGCTTCCATCTCCCTTTTAAGAACTATCCCCTGAAGCCCAGCAACAGAGAAACCACTACTGGCACTGTCCCAGTAGAAGAGAATATAAAACATAAGTTCCTTAAATGACATAAGAATATATTTTAATGCCACAAATTATGACAAAATAAATACTATTGTTTTATTACTAAAACATATTGCTCGTATGCCAGCTGCTTTGCCTTCAACTGTAAGCAATAGAAAATGCAACTCTAATTGGCTTGAACACAAATGAGTTTGTCATCATACACAACTGGAAGTCAACAAATTGAACAGACTTCAGGGCTAACTTATCTAGTGGCCACAACTTCAGGAGTTCTCTTTTCTCTATCATTTCATGCTGACTTTATTCTCAGGCTGGTAGGAAGATGGTTCCACTAGTCTGGATCACATATCCACACAAAAGAGTAACCACAGGAAGAAAGAACATCACTTCCTGTTGTTCTTTATTAAGAGTGAATGGGGACAGACTCATAGATATAAAGCAAGGTGACAGCTAGTGGCAGGGTCGGGGAGATGGGGTAGAAGGATGGAACAAACAAAAAGAACTCAAGGACATGCACAACAGTGTGGTGATTGTTGGGTAGATGGAGGTATAAGGGGACTAAATGGTAATGGGAAAAAAATACAATAAAGATTTTTTTAATAAAATAAATAAGGATTTCCCAAGGAGGGGAAAAAGGCATGAAAACACTACTCAGAAGCCCCTAGAAACTCTTCAGGTATCTCAGGGGCCCATATTATGTCACATGTTTCCTGAACTAATCTCTATCACAAGGGAAATGCTTGATTTTGCTCAACTCTGGGTTCCTGAACCAAGGATGAGAGAATTTTCTGACAACATTGTACCTGTCTCAGCGACACCATGACCGTGGCCTGACATCAGGCTAAATCTGTAGAAATGGGAAACTCAGCCCAGTCTAGTCCCTTCTTCCTAACTTCTGCTCTCCTCCCACCTGCCTGCATTTTTCACTCTCCACAGTTTTCTTCAGGTAGTTGTTTTCTGTAATGGTATGATTTGAATTGTGTCTCCCAAAATTTGTATGTTGACATCCTAACCTCCAGTATCTTAGATGTGACCTTCCTCAGAAATGGGTCTTTGCAGATGTAATTAGTTAAGATGAGGTCATTCTGGGATAGGGTGGCCCACTAGTCCAATGTGACTGGTATCCTTATAAAAAGGGGAAATTTGGACCCTTCCCCACCACACACACACACAAACACACACTCATGGGGAGAACGCCATGAGAAGATGAATATAGAGGTCAGTGATGCTTCTACAAACCAAGGAACGCCAAAGATTGCCAACCAACCACCAGAAACTAGGTGAGAGGCCTAGGCAGATTCCCCTACATCCCTCAGAAGGAATCAGCCCTGCTGACACATTGATCTTGCTTCCAGAACTGTGAAACAATAAATTCCTGTTGTTTAAGCCAGGCAGTTTGTGGTGCATTTTTACAGCTGCCCTAGCAAACTAGTACTTGTCGGGTGGCCAGAGTTTAGACAGAGTGGTTCATGAGGACCTTATTGTACCAAACCAAGAGCAAAAGAAACTCTTACTTGCCTTAAATAAGTTCACATTTCTTTTATGCCTTTAGTTTTCTTACCTGTACAATAGGGATAATACTAATATCTACCTCTTAGCATTCTAGGGAAAATAAAATCAGCTGATACATGGAAAGCCCTTAGAGAACAGCTCATGGAATGTGTATGCTGTCAATAGTTGTTAGCTATTCTTGACCTTCACTCAGTGAGCTATACTCCAAACTCTGTGATAGGCACTCTAGGTGCATAACCAAACAAAATAGATACAAATTTTTACCTTTATGAAGTTTGCATTATAAAGAGAGAACGCAGATGATAAACAAATTATGTAACATATTGGCCAGTAATAATTTCCATGAAGGGAAATAAAGCAAAAAATGGGAAAAGGGAGGGCTAAGGTTGGCTATGGCGAACCTCAGTGGGTGGTCCAGAAAGGCATCTGTGAAGGGGGCACGGGAGTGAGCCATGTGCAGACCTAGAAAGGAGCCCTCCAGGCAGAGAGAGCAGCTAGTGCTGCTGCCCTGATGGGGGAGCCTGCCTGGAATCCTCAAGGCACAAGAAGGAGCAGAGTGAGTCAGAGGGCAGAGACCGAGAGGACCGGGTAGTATAGGTCCTTGAAGGGCTTTGGCTTTCATTCAGAGAGACATGGCACTTCACTGGAGGCTTTGAGCACAGGAGTGCCACGATCCATACATTTCTGTAGCATGCCCCTGGCTGGAGTGTGAGAGCAGACAGGAGAGTGGCAGGGGTGAGGGAGGGGGAAGGACAGCAGCAGGGAGACCAGTTAGGGGGCTATGTCTAAGTTCCAGGTAGAGATCACTAACCAGGCTCTTACCAGGGGTGTTCTGTGGAGGAGGCAAAACACAGACTACAGATATTGTGACAGGAGAGGTGACAGGTTTTCCACATAGATTAGATGTGATGTCTGAAAGAAAGGAAGGAGTTAAAAACAATGCTGAGGTTTGGAACCGGAGCAACCAGAAGCACGTGTCCATTACCAGAACTGGGAAAGACTTGGGGAGAAACGGATTAAAGAAAGAAAGGAGTGACTGTTGTGGTTGTTCCTCCTCTTCCCCTTATTATCTTGGCATTATTATTATTTTAATGAAAGGTAACTTCATCAGTCTTTATTCTTGGTCCATCTCCTATGAGATTTTCTCTTTTTTCCTAGCAGGTAATAAGCTAATGCACAGTACACCCTCCTGTTTGGTCAGCACATTGCACCTAGCTGTCCTCTCCTGCTGCCGGGAATATTTCTCATGACCTTCTGTCCCAGAGTTAGAGCCTTGGCTCTCTCTACCCTCTGCTCCTACAGTCACACCTTCCTTCTCGGTCCTTCCTATAGTATATTCATAAAAGGAAGAAAATACCTCCTTCTTCTTCTTTTGGAAATTTCATTTTTCTTTGCTTTTTCTCATTTTAGCCATTTTTCTTCCACTTACTCCAATTTCCATTAATCTTTCCACCAATTCTTTCCCACTAATGACACTGTCTCCTCTCATTCCCATGAGTTCTCCAGTGACTCACCAACAACAAAATAAATCTCCGACAAGTCCCCCCAGCTTCTCCCTTCCCTCTGACCCTCATCTGAAACTCTGCGGTACAACAGTCATTTGATGTCTCTGGGTCTCAGTTTGTTCCTCTGAAAAATAAAGGAATAAACTAGATGACAAATAAGAAAAGACAATTTGTTCTTTTGAACTGCAGACAAAAACTAATAACTTTTTTAAAAAAATTCTATACACAAAGGTCATTTTTAATGCTTTTATTTAGGAAAAATTACAGGTGATTTTGAAATACATTTGACATTCCACTCACTTAGGACAAAAGAGGTTATTCCAAAACATTTTTTAATAGCCCTAAAATAATTTTGCCTATCAGAGCAAAAAAAAAAAAAATGCATCCAAAAAAAGGATTTTCCTTTAGTGAAAATCATGTAACTGGACTTTGTAGACATTAAGGAAATTCACACACACATACACAATTAGTTAGAAATATTTCATTTTTAAGATTAAATTTTACACAATACATTATGACAATAAAGGAGTTACTTTAACACAACAGTTATCTCCAGTTCTTTCTTAGCAAGGGAGCTGGACTTCATATTATTCCATCTTGGCTTATAAATCTGACTTGGTAAAACTGTAGGAGAAATGTGTCTTGTCTAGCCTTCCCTGCCCAAATCAAATGCCATCTCCCCTGTGGCCCACAACGATAAAGCATCTTTCTCTCCTCTGACTGCCACTGGGACTTGCCTGCCATCCTTCTTATTCCCTATCCCTCCTAAACCAGACTCTCTCATATCTATCAATAAATATTTATGAAACAAAAGTAAGTAAGCATCATAGTTTAACAGGAAAAGTACGGGCTTTGAGTCAGACAAACGTGGGTTTGTATATCATTTCATCTCATTTATTTACCTCATTATCCTATCCAGTTGCTTTAACCTCTCTGGGCCTTAGTTGCCTAGTCTGTATAGTGAGGACGACAAAACCTCTCTCATAGTGTCCTGTGAAGATGAAAAGGGATAAGACGGTGAAGCGCCCAGCACATAAGAGGCACCCAACAAAAGCTACTTCCCTTTCCCCTGTCAAGCATGGCATTCACGGTTCAATCATGCATTATACTTAAATGAACACAAGGCTATTCCTCGGCTGTGAGCTTTTGAAGGCAAAGTTTTGCTCGTCTTTGTCTTTCCAGCAGTCTAGGGCGAGGCAGTGAGGGGCACGTTCTGGTGGCACAGTAACTGTGTTATTGTATGAAACTGAGTGTGGCCCAGGATGGTTCCCAAGCTGTGGAACAGCGATCTACGGCTGGGCTCTTTGAGCTCTTTTGGTAATACAGGGTGGGGCACAAGTAGGTTTACAGTTGTTTGTATGGAAAACAATACAATAATGAATAAATAAGAAAACAAGAATAAACGTCATTTCACGTACTTACACTATAAACCTCCTTTTGCCCTACCCATATAGACCCTCTTGTGAGCTATGGCCCAGGCCACTTTGGCTTTAAGACAGCCCACCTTTGCTTTAAAATAGGTCATACAGAACGTAAGTAAGTATGCTCTCAAATTCTTTGGCAACTGATCAGAATGCTGTTCCATTTCTCATGGTAGCAACTGCTGCAGAAACATCAACCTTACTCGGCGACAGAGAAGCTGTATTCACTCGCGTTTGCTGGCAGAACACGTTGTGTTGAAAAGCACTGAGTCAAATAAACTTCAGCTCATCCCTGACTGAGCCATGAGCCCTTGAGCAAGCTATCCATGTTCATTGAGCCTCAATTAAAACAAACAGAGAGATAATAACTTTACTTTGGGTGTTGCATAGGGTTGTGGGTGGATCGGGAAGGTGACACCTGGGAACATACTTTGAAGCAGGATGAAAAAGCAAGGTCTAGAAAGCCATCAATTTTGGTTATATTGAGCTCTTACTTTGTCATAGACCAGGCTTCTACCCTTATGGCCTTCTTTGGCAATTGACCACCCCTCATGTTATAATTTCACTAGAAATTGTGGGGGGAGGGGCTTCAGGTGTGTGCAAACACACACCCAAGTGATGAAATCTATAGAATGCCCTACCTTTTTTTTCTGAGTGCCATGTAACAAGGAAAAAAGGAAAGTGCAGCCGCGAATTCACAATACAACAAACGCCGTGTCTGTAAAGTAAAGGCCGGTCTGCTTTCTGGCAGCAGAAGCTCCGTGCACTCCCTTTCTGTCTGACGCTACAACTGCACTGCACAGCCCAACCGCTTGTGGCTTTTTCTCATGTGTCGGTCACACCTTCCTTTGTAAAATATTTCAAAGACTATACAGCTCAACCAAAGCATAACAGAAAGTCAGCCCCAGACTAAAGAAGGCGGGTCTGGGGAGAAGCCAGCCACCTGTCTTTTCAGGTGGAATCTTTGTTTCTCAGCCATTGTACTACCATCACTCCAGGCTTCCAAAGGAAACTGGGGGGAGGGGCAGGTTGGCTGCCTACACACTGCATATGGAAGAACGCACCTTCCCAAATTTCTGAAAAAAGTCTTCTTGTGCCCGGGCTAAGGCGTCTTCATCAATGTACACCGCTGGCCTTTTGGCCATGAGGAAGTACTGTACCTTCCTCAGCTTCCAGCCCATCACGTAGTGCAGCCAGCCGCACACGGCCGCGGTGGACCGGCCGACCCCCGCGTTGCAGTGGACGTACACGGTGTGTCCATTCTCGAGCAGCGCGTGCAGGAGACAGACCGCCTGGGGCAGCATCTGCACCCGGCCTAGGGTTGAGAAAGCACAGCACAGACACATGAGTAGTGACACCCCAATATCACCGCTAATAACAACCCCTCCAGTGCCCTGTGAAGTCATAGCACCACATGGGGCCGGGGGGTCGGGGGGTGGGGCAGGGATAATACAGCCTGCTCCATTCTCTGCCTTGAAGGGGAAGGGAAGACAGTATCAACTCCTGCTAATAATAGAGTGGAAAGACCCAGAGGCAATGGGTCTGCTCTGAACTGTCACTGATTTGGCTGCTCCTTTGAGGGACTTCTGCCTCCAGTTTCCCTTCAAAGAAAAGTTCGCTGTTGCCTGTAGTCAGGCGAGCAGATTTTTATATCCATCCATGCACACAGATCAGGCAGAGGTTTAGAGGATTTCAAAGAGAACTTGACAGGTCCTGTCACCTCAATTTCCTTTAATCCAAAAGGGTCTTCAGGTAAACGTGCAACAGAATCAGTCAGCCTTGTTGAAAGAAGGGAACCTCATTCATTCCACATATGATGCTAGTTTTCATTTGTCCAATGCTAACTTATTGATAGAAGTAGGAAATTTGATACATTGTTCATTCATTCCCTCACAATGCAGTGGGTATTAAAACTGATTCAGTTCCTCCTTTACTGGGCAGTTATGATTACAGTTATTGCAGCTTTGTGGTTACTTTTTCGATTATGAGATGATTAAAGTATCTCTTCAACACACCGAGAAAGGATATGCGTGCAGGCTCTGCTGAGGCCTGGTGTTAGAGATCCTGGTGTGAGAGACTCTCCCTAAAATCATCAAACTCCTGGATGCCTGGACATTGTTCTGCCTATTGGTTCTCCGTCAAAGATATTTAGCATATTTGAGAGAGAGTCAGAGAATGGTGAGTGTAAATTACTTCAAAAACAGATGAAACAGGGAAACTACACAGCGTCCTGGACTGAAGCTATGATTTGACGATCTGGAGCTATCCCGTGTCCTCCACCACACAGAGAAGCAACGTGTGGTGTCCTCCGTCTGAGGGCCAGACTCCCCGCCCATTGGAGGACTGGAAAGCCCCTCCCTCGAGTGATTTCTCTGCAGGTTGCACTGGGCCCAGAATTCTCCCAGAAGCAGCAGGTAAGTTTAGACTTCCCTCTTTAGCTGTCCTCTTTTACAATGCAAGTGGCCCTGAAGGGGCCAACACAATACACTGTGGTCAGGCGTCAGCACCTGAGAAGGACAGATGTTACCAATGACCTCATCACAGCCTGGGGGCCCTCTCAGTTCCCACTGCATCCAGCTGCAGACGCACCCTGCTCTCAGGCTGCAGCAGAAAGTCTACAGGGAACCAAGACAATATTCTAATTTTCCTGCTGGAACTCTACGAATCACTCTTAGTATGGGATCTAAAGAGCGGTTTAGAGATGTTTGTAGCTGGGATTCCTTTAGGCAGGACCCACTTTGCACTCCCTGGGCCCCAGCTTACTGTGGTCTGCCTCGTCCCAGAGGGCATCTGAATTGGAGACACACCAGCTTCTATGTGCTGCATAATTTCTCAGAGCCCACACGCAGTCATAACTTTGACTGGCTGACACCTCTGTGTTTGGTTTCAAGGCACACCGAGGTGAGCCCTGGATGGGCCTGCCACACAGTCAGCCGTTTAGGGCACTCTCCCAGAGGCGGGAAAATGTCGCTCGAGATACAATGAGGAGAGAACATTGTACATACCAGGGAGACATCTCACTGGGTGTCTCCAGAGAGCACTGTGCAGTTGGCCCACTATTTGAGCTGGGGGACAAAGGGAAGCAAAACCTCCAAGGTATGTCTGAATGGCCTCCTGAGAGGGTGAGGCTGGTTCAAGTTCAGGGCTTTTGTTGCGCTGAGCGGGTGTCAGAGGCTTACCCCGCGTGATACCGAGGGGAAGGGAACTGTTGGTGATGGATCCAGGAAGCTTGGGTTCTCCCTGCTCCCCACTAATCAACCAGTTGACAAGTTCCCCATTTACAACCTCTCCGGCTGCCCTGTACACTGCCAGGAAATAAATAAAATATGTTTAAGGGGAGTCTTTATTAAAGGCCAAATATGCAAATAGAACACAGTGGCCATTTGCAGGAGGAGCTGCTGAAGTCGGAGTCCCAGGCCCGGGCGCTCAGCCTCAGGGCCATCAGGGCGGCTGGCCAGCCTGAACCCGGGACTGCACGGACCTGTCAGGGTCTGTGCCCGGCACTCCTGTGGCCGGAGGTTCCCCGAGGAAGGGTCTGCACCAAATGGCCAAATGATGCGATACAGCCCCTTTTCCTTTCTATCTGTGAAAGATTCTTCAATGTGCATGCCAACTGTTGAAACTGTTGAAAATGGATATGTGTTTAGAAGTTGAAAGCAGATACACGTTACTTTGAGGCTCTATGATCTCAGACACGTAATCCTGGAAGTTGAATGTCAGCAACCACGTGGGAGCTCTGTAAGGCTTCCAGTTTCAACAGAAGGTTTCACACACCATTGGTCTCCTAAAATCACTCAGCCATCCCACTTAAGATCTGTCAAGCAAATATTGAAATGGTATAAAGAATGGACAAATAATAAAAAGAAGCACCAGAGAAGAAGCAGGTCCAGGCTGCCCATCCTCAGCCTGGCCTCCACTGGAGACCTCAGACCTTGCTCATCATGATCTCCAGGGATGACAAATCACCTGCTTGGACGACCAGCCACGTGCTGTTCTAAGCACTGCGTGTGCAACAGCTCCTGTACAACCACCTCTCAGCAACAAGGAGCTGAGGATCATACTATTATCATCCTCAGTTATGTCTGAGAAAACTGAGGCACAGAGGTCTTCTCCAGGTTATTCCCTCATGGCCACTCAAACCCCAGCCAACCAGATGCCACAGCATCTGGTCTTAGCCTCTGTGCCAGTCCTTTCCCTCAGCTGCCTGATCGATGGCACTGGCTGGCCCCTTGCTGCCAACTGAAGTCTCCGTCAGTCCCTGCACCCTGCCTGCCCAGTCATGCTTTGCTCTCGCCGCTGGGGAAGGGCCACATCTGGCCAGGGATTGCGCACCTCTGCCCCTAGCCTACAAGGGCCATCTGTGCCCAACATGTGTGCGTCCCGCTGCTTGAAAACCATCCTAAGGAGCCTTTGCTAATATGTAACCCATAGACGGATAGAAAGCGGTCCCCAGGATCAGGCTCACACAAATAAGCCAGTGACAACCAGAGTCCCTAATGTTTGTTTTATATATTTTGGCTCCATATAGAATTTAATTTGGTAAAAAGTTTTTACTCTTAAAAACTATATCTAAAGGCAAGAGAGAAATGCATATTTTTTAATGTAAAACATTCCAAATTTTAATGTTGGCCACTAAAGTCGAAAATCTGAGACCTATGCAGTCCAACAAAACACTCCGCCACCTATGATTCTTCCTTTGGAAGGCACAGCAGGCCCTGGCTCTCAGTAGATGCTCAAAAGGCATGAATTAAAACAAAATAAAACAAAGCCCAATAATACCCATTCGATCTGAGACACTGCTAGACCCCGCCACTCTAACTTCCGGCCCCACCTCCTCAGGGCTAATCCCACTCTGAAATGCCTAGAAGCCTCCTGGAACGATGAACAAGCACAGGGGACAAGGGGGCTCCAGGGCATGGCGGGGTGGCCTGAGACACTGGGCCTGAAACAGGCAGGGGGCCTAGCGCCAGCCAAGCCCCACTGAAGGCTGGCGCCGAAGGAAATCTTTCCTGGCCCGGCTTCCAGCCTTTCCAACACGTGCACACAGAAGCCCACGTACACACGTATCTTTCCTTTCTTAATCTAGGAGCAGCTTTATGGCTGAATATATTATTATTTTATTTCAGTGTATCCCCTTTTCCACCTTTGCAATGTAATGTACATATGGTTCATATTATCTACGATATCGTTTGGTAGGATCATAAGGACTTGGGACTAAGAATACAGCCCCAGCTTTGTAATTTTCAAAGCATATCCATATCCATCATCTTATTCTACTGTTATCATCCTGGAAAGCAGAAATTATCACCCCCATTTTCCAAAGGCCAGGACCGGTCTGCCCAGTCTCACACAGCTGCCCAGCGGCTGCAAGGCTCACGCCTCGGTGCTGCCTCACAGAGGAGCTGCACCCAGGGGCCGAGTCAGAGAAGAGAACTCAGCTGGAGACAACAAAAGGGGGGCCGAGGACGGGGCGCACGCTGACCTGCCTGTCCTCCCAGCTCCGCCCCGACAGGGCCGGAACACCGCCAGGGCCCTTCCGCATGAAGGGAAGCTGAATCGCAGTGAGCACGTGTGTTTTTCTCGAGTGAATGCCAGATTTGGGAGCTTTTTCGTTCTTAGGTGAGACACACAAAACAAAATATTTCTTTAGAAAAAGAAAAAAACAACCTAACCAAGCCCTGTGCATATGACAAAATGTACAAACTGAGGCTCGATGGCACAATTGACTGAAACAGGTATGTGTCAGCCAGTGGTGACAGTCAGTCCTCACAGTCTTCTCTCTCAGACGTTAGCTGACAGCATTATGTGGCTCTAAACATTTCCAGATGGATTTTTCTCTAGCGTTCTAAAAATACCCGGCAGAATTAATCTATATGTTTACTGTGCTAATATTGTGAGCCGCAAAGATGGATCTATTGGTCAAAAATTCCTCAGGGACTCCGAAATGGTCATTAACTCTTTCATTACTCCCTAGGTTAGGCTGAACCAAAGAAACACTTTATGTAGACTTGGGGTTTAGCCTTTTTCAAGGGAAAGCTTTCATTTTGCCGTCATTTCGGGTAGGCAGTGTGGAAGATGTTCCCCTGTTGTGACTGGGACCCCCAGTCATTGAGGAATGACCTTATTTGCCTCTGTTTCCCTGGCAGCACCCATGTCAGTTCATAGTTCTCTCTTCACAAAAACAGGACCCATCCCCCCAAAAAAAGGTTTTAATACAATGACAGTGGGTGTTAGGAATGAGCATGCAAATTCCTGGTTAGTCAGCACGGGGTGGCACGCGATGCGTGCCAAATGTATTTCAACTTCTCCAAGCCGAGCCTCCCATAATTCTCCAATGGGATAACAATGCTAACAAACCAGACTCAAAGAAGCAAAAATCCAAGCACTCTCTGGAAGCTATAGAGAAACACTCCCTAACAAGTTTCTCTGTTTTGAAACCAGAGACACTAGCTGAACAGGAGAAATATGACCTAGATTCAACCAGTGCTCTTCTGTGCAAATGAAGTATTTTTTTTCCCTTCCTTGGAAAACAGACAGTCTGTGTTGCTCAATCAAGCTCCTTTGGATGAGCATTACTAAGAGGAGTGCCCAAACTCTCCTTAAGGAACAAAGGTTATTCCTCATCCCCAGTGATAGTTCAGCTCACACACAGATCCCCCTGGGGTCCAGCCTGGGCAGGAGGACCACCTGAGATTCATACAGAGCCAATGTGGACAAGGTCCAGGCAACCTGTGCTTCTTGAGGTCTTCTGTCCCCACCCATGCGTTGATTTTATTGACTCCGGGGAGACTTAGCTACTTCCCTGGCAACTCATGACTTTGCCTAATTACAGCTAAAGATGAAAATGACAGGCTGGAAGTGCAGTGGTCTGTAGAATGTGCATGAAGAGTCTGTGTGAGCATGTACCGTGTCAGGAGCAATGTTCTGAGTCAGACTGCCTGCGGTGAATTCCAGGCTGGGTCTCTTACTTACCCTGGCCAGGTTACTGAAGATTTTTGTACCTCAGTCTCCTCCCCTGCAAAATGCAGATAACAACACCTGTCCAGACTCTTGTGAGAATTAAATGAGTCAATGCATGCAACTGCTTAAAAGAGTGTTTGATACATAATGTACTTTTGGGAGAAAAGGGTTGATGATAGAAACATTTCCTTCCCACACACATCACGACCTTTCTTTTTTCCCCCAAAATAATGTTGACCAAACTCCCTTAGCCTGTACCATTTTCACAGCTCTCTGCTGCCCCCTGCTGACATCTAGTTCATACTACTGGTGTAACTTTGTTCTCTCGGCTCTAAATAGCTCCATTCCTGTTCTACAAGAACCCTATTCTACAACACAACCAGGCTGAAATATAGATCATTCCTCTAAAATCCCACGCCTCGGTGCCTTGGGCTAGGCTTTCTCACACCTGGAATTGACCTGTCGTGCCCACCTCAAATGCCAAGACACTGGTGCCACCTGCCTGCTCTTCGTAGAAAGTGTTCCTCCCAAGCCGTAACTCTCCCGGAGCACAGGATGCATTGCTCCTATTACACTCCTTTCTGTGCTGCCACTAGTTTTGAACTTGCTGTTGCCCTTTACCATTAGATCAAAACTACATCCCATTTGTCTGTTTCCCCGGCAGCACCCAAGTCCATAAGTGCAGCCTCTCTACCACACCCTTCCCTGAACTACATTCTCTCTCTCACTACCTCTCACTTGAACGTCACTGCACTGACCTCCTAACTGGCATCCCCGGACCCACTCTGGGCCCACCCTGATCCGTTCTCTATCTAGAGGAAAATAAAAGGGTTACTTTGGCATCTCTCAGCCCCCAGCTCTTTCAACTGTTTCTCATCACGTTAGGGTAAAGTCTGCAGTCCTTACTGTGCCCAAATCCTGCAGAACTCACTTCCCTGATCCTCTGATCCGCAGCCACATGGGCCTGCCTTCAGTTCCTGCAAGTCTCCACGCTCTCCTGCAAGGCAGATTCCTCTGTAGCTTCCTCCCTCTGCCTGCAAGCCTCACCCCCAACCCCAACCTGCTCTCCAGCCCTCAGTGCAAACACTGTCTCCCCAGGACACTTTCCCTGGCCCCCTTCCTCGATCTGATTGTCTGCACACTCTCATACCATATCTATGTATCTTTCTAACAACAACAACAACAACAAAACTCATCCTGGTTTTTAATTTCTATTTGTAGTCATGTACTGTTTGTCTTGCCTATGGGATTATAAACTCCATGAGGACAGGAGTTGTCCTGCTTCTCTTCACCACTCTATTCCCAGCCACCAGCATAATGCTACATACAAAATAGCTACACAATAAATACATGTTGAATGAATCAACAAATCAAAGGGCCCCTGCTAAACAGAAACTTAGCTAAGTTGTCAAAAGACACGTATTAAACCTAAATCCTTTTCTTTATTCCACTTCTGTCATTCATATTCAGGTCAATCAATTATAGACAGAAAACTAGGTAGGTGGGCAGACAGGCAGGCAGTTGAAAGGCAGATAGACAACCAAGCAAACAGGTGAGGGCTTCTCTGAAACACATCTCACAGGAAGCCAGAGAGATTCGGATGCTCACCTTCGGTGCTCATATCTGGCGTCGGCATCCAGATGTAGGCCAGGCCTTCTTCCTTGTACAGCTTAATCATAGTGTCTGGAGTCATGGGTTCTGGGTAGCGGTTACAGCCTGAGGAATTCTGTACAATATCCCACTCAGTCTGGAAATTCATTACAGCTGTAATACCCAATTCATGCTTTAGTTTGATGGTTACGTGTTCCACTTGACGAGGGCAGCTCCCCAGCCAGATATTTGGTAGGATTCTAATGAGAACATATGGAGTCCGCTATTACTAATGTTGTTATGATTTGAGATCAGAGGAGCTGCATAAAACATAGTATTAAAATGCAAATAACCTTTAAATCTGACACAGGAATAGATATAAGGATATGAGAACCAGTATTATCATTGAAAGAAATAAATACTCGTCATGTAATTTTGGGGGAAACAAATAACTCAATTAGCTAGAATGTCAGAAAATGGGCATTAGCAAACTAAATCTAGTAATATACAGGGGCCGGCAGAAAACGCGTGCTTCAGCATCGTTGGTAGGGTAATGACATGGGTGTAAAAATTTATAGTTTTAATTTGAACATTTCATCTACAATCTCATATAGTATGAGTGTGATATTGTTATGTTACGGAATTATATGCTTATGATTTTGTAATAAAAGATTTTATAATAAAAAGGGATTTCATTTGTGCTGGACCCTGTATAAAAACAAGTCTACCAAGTTATACTTATTCCATAAATGTGTATGTGGTTCAATATTAGGAAACCCATCAGTGTGTTTCAAATACCAACAAATGAAAAGCAAAACTCTTATAATTATATTAATAAATTCTGGAAACCATTTGCTAAAATTCAGCCATCATTCTTATTTAAAACTCTATATAAAAATTTCAAATAGTATGAGACCTTTTAAACATGCTGAATACAAGAAATAAACAACAATCTTCTTTTAACCAAAATCAAAGTAAAGATTACTTCCATTAGTACCCAACAGAGTTCTATGTTTCATTTAATGCTACAAGTAGAAGGAATTGTAACTACCTATAAAAAAGAAAATATCATTAGTTTTTTAAGTATGATTATCTAAATATCCTAATTCAGTGGTCAAATCTGGAGAACCAGCCCCTAAGAGATTCAAACACAAAAACTATGTAAATATTAAAAATATTAGCATTAAGGTATCTGGATGAGGGGAAATATAGAAAACCAAACAGCTTGTCTCTGTACTAGCAATAGTCAGATAGAAATGCAGTGGGGTGAGGGCAGAGGGAATCTTTCTCAAAAATAATCAAAAATTCAAGAACATCTAGGAATACACTTAACCAGAAAGAACTACAAAATTGTATTGGAGGACATTAAATAAACAACCACCAATAAATAGAAAGATATACAGTGATACTGTCGTTTATAATACAATATATATATATATATTTGGCCTTCCTCCCCTGTTCCAACACAAAATACCTAAAACTCTTGAAATTTCCCTATCCCAAGTGTTGAGAGTCACAAAGGTATCTTTTGTTATGTTAACGAGGCGACTTTTGGACAGCATTTAAGGATGCAGGTTCATTGCTAGGAGACCCAACCACGTGATTAGAGGGCTGGTACTTTCACCCAGACCTCCTGACCTCCTGTAGGGGAGAAGGAATGCAGGTTGAATCAATTACCAATGGCTAATGATTTAACTACTCACACCTCTGTGGCAAAGCCTCCACAAAAGCCCAAGAGGAGGGCGTACAGAGACTCTGGGTTGGTGAACACATGGGGCTTGGGGAGCGTGGCCGCCTGGGAAGGTCACGGAAGCTCTGTGCCCCTTCCCCGCGCCTCGCCCTGTGCATCTCTTCCATCTCCTTGCTCCTGAGTTCTAATATATCCTTTTATAATAAACTGGTGCCCTGGTAAGTAATTCGTTTCCCTGAGTTCTGTGAGCTACTCCAGAAAATGAATAGAACTCAAGGAAGGAGGGGGTCTTGGGAACCTCCAATCTGTAGCCAGTCAGTCGGAAGCACTGGTGACCACCTGGGTTTGCAGGTGGCATCTGAAGCTGTGCAGAAGGGAGCTGTGAAGCTGTGTGGAATCCAGTGCTGTCTCCGGGTAGGCAGTGTCAAACCTGAGCTGAACTGTGGGACACAAAGCTGGCGTCTGCAGAACTGCTCGGATGCATGAGGACACGCCTTCCCCTCACACACTGGAATTGGGCCCCAGAACCCAAAAGGTATACCATGCTCTTCATCTGGAAGAGGTAAAATTATAAAATGCACTTATCATAAAAATGTAAATATTTTCCAAATTATTACATAAATGTAATGCATGCTATTACAATCTATTGTATATGGTATATATTGTCTTGTTCACTGAGTACTTTATATGTAGACATTCATTCTCTCCAGAGCTAAAGGGTGAACTCTCTATTCCAATCTACTTGAATCATGTCCCCTCGTACTTTACCAGGCTCATTACAGGACACGCAGACCAGGTACTGATGATGGAGGATGACAGCGCTGATGCTGGCCGTGTGCCCAGGTATCCTCCTTCAAGCACGGAGGGCTACACTTTCTCCCCGCCTCAGTGTGAGACACGGCCGCACGACTTGCTTTTGTCAATAAAATGTGAGCTGAAGTGACATGTGTCACTTCCACAGGGGCATTTTTAAGACCTTGTGCCTCTGTCTCCACTGTCTGTCTTTCCCTGTGGCAATGACCACGAAAGCACACGTGGATGCCGAGCTGCCAGGCGACTGAAGGAACGCGGAACGGTGAGCTCCCCCCGAAGAGGCCTGCCGCCCTGCAGAGCTCGACCCGGCCTTGTTTGTCCCCACCGCACAGCCTGACTTGTTCTGACGAGTACAGAGTCAGTTGCTTGAAGCCTTTAAAACATGCAGGAAAGACACTGAGCAGAGGGAATGAACTTTATTTAACTACTTCCATTTTGAGTTTCGAGCAATGATTCTCAATGGGGAACATTCGCTCCCCAGAGGGTATTTGGCAATGATTATGGAGCTGGTTTTGCTACCAGCATCTATTAGTTTGAGGCTAGGGATGTTGGTAAGCATTCTGTGATGCACCGGACAGCTTCCCACAACAGAGGATCATCTAGTCCAAAACATCAACGATGCTGAGGTTAGGAAGCTGTGATTTTGGAGAATAAAAGTGAAGTCCAACTTCTTACTCTTTGTAGCAAGAAAGAGAATGTGAAGCAGGAGTAAGCCCAACATATCTGACAGTTTGTGGCTCATCAGTTATGTTATTCTGGTTATAATATAATATTTCATGTCATTTAAAAATATGAATGTATGTATATAAAAACAAGGGATCTAGAGAGTAAAGCAAAATCTAATATTAGAGAATTGAAAAGCACAATAACATTTTTTGTGTGGTAAAATGGAAGGGGCAGTGAACACAAGCCAGAAAAACTGAGTTGAAATGGAAAGTCACTTGGTAGTAACAGTCTGCCATGAGGGCTCACTTAAGTATCATCTCTGAGCTCTGGGTGTGGACATCTTTAAAGTGGGTCTAAAACAAAATAAACCAAGCGACAGAACTTTTGTAAGGAGTGAAAGAAGTAAGTGATTTGAATAGGACACTAGTGACTTCACAATACATGTAAGTGGGCTTTATGTCTAGTTATTACAATGTATTTATTGTAGTAATTTATTTTATATTCTAATGGTCATTCAGATAATTTTGCCTTGCTCTGTGTATCCTTTATGTAAATGTTGCAGAGGACAGAATATTCACCCTATTTGTTTTATGAAATCCAGCTTGTTTTTTGCCGTTTGGCTGTTGTTGTCATTGTTGATGGGAACATGGAAAACCAACTGATTAAACCTCAAATGTGGGTATTTTCATTCCATCCTCAATGACTATCTTACTAGAGCAAGCACTGTCTTTCCAAAGCTTGCATCCTATTTATCCTCCAGGAGAGAATAAACCAATTTTTCTTTGTTGCTTGGGTTCTAAGTCTAATGGGTTATTAGGAATTTCCTTGTGAATTATTGTGGGAAAATAAAGGGAATGCAATTTAAAATAAAGAGAAAAGTGAGAAACCCTGGAAAGACTTAATGGTACTGCAAAGAAGGACAAAGGATCCAAAGGCTTTTTCACTTTAAATCCTAACCCTAAAAAATTCTCGGATATGCCCCTGGGCCCAGTGGGTTGAGAGAAAGACCACTGCCTGGGCCACCTCAGAGTGCCCCAGACCCGCGCTTGACTAGGACATTGCTGTCTGAGTGTTTAGTATTTGCAGGAATGGAAGCTTCCTAACCCCTGGGTCATTGCCCCATCCCTCTGGCTGTTAAGTGAGAATAGAAATCTAATTCTGTCTATATGTTCCATCCTCCCTTAAAAACTTCTTCTCCAATAACCTGTTGGATGCCTAGTAGCTAGTAGTGCTGGGCTGCCATTCTTATGCTTTGGGGTTCAACCGAGCACACTGAAGTACCCTTAGCTGGAAAAGAGAGATGTGGACACCTCAGTTACACAACCAAGAAATACAGCTTTTTGAACAACAATGCATTGTTGTTGGCAAATCTTGAAGTGGACGGGTAAAATATTAAAAACAAATATTCATGACAGGCAAGCTGAATTCCAAACATTATCCAAAGTTCACTTAAATACTGTATCCTTTGAGTGGGTAGCACTGAGTATTTAGCTAGTAAATAAATTCCAAAATAAAGTGACAAGCATGCAAGATTTGCATAAAGACCAAAGAATAATTCATAGAGATATGCACAGGGTAAATCAGGGCATCTGAGTCTACAAAATAAGAAATTAGAATCCCAAACCAGAGTCAGTATATAGAATCACATTGTGTTGCCCAGAAAAAAAGGTATTATCCTCTCATCTCATTCATCCATGGTCTTCAAATATATTTAAACTAACTGGAAACCTCAGGAAATGAAGAATAAGCCAAAAATGAACAAACTTGGTACCTTAACATATATATTTCCCACATTAACTTTCTAATGGAAATAAGCCCTTGAAATACACACCCACACATTCTCACACACATATAAACACTAGTTTCTATCTCAGATTATTTCCAACTTGTTAGTAACATAATTAATTCTTCCTCTAGAAATGCCTGAAGTCAGGGTCTGTATTTAAGAAATGAATATAAAACAATTCCTGACTTTTTAAGGACGATGTTCTGAACCTAGGAGATAGAGAAGTAGAGATAAATTCTGAAAACAAGCACTGTATTGAAGGGTAGAGAATTAAAGTTATAAAGTAAATTTACTGAACCATTATA